AGAGAAGAAGATATAAGACCACAAATGCTCAAAAAATGTAGGAAAATAGATAAAAGTCTTTGAAACATTGGCTCAGTAGCTCTCTAACACTTTCCTTGCAATTCAGGATCACTATATAAAAGTTTGCATCGCAGCATCTTGAACAACTTATACCTCAATGCCATTAACACCGTAATCATTCCATATATATTTTCTGGGTGAATGAATTATCAGTATGGTTTTATAATAAAAATATAACCCCAATTGCTGCTTAAATAAGACCTTTCAGCTAGGAACCTAAGACATTTGTAAAATGTTTATGTGGGTTAGATACAGAACACCAGCTGTATGAATTACTAGCTCTGAGACTCTTTGCAAGTTACTTAATTTCTCCTGGCTCCAGTTTCCTAATTTGTAAAACATGGATAATAACACTTCACAAGGTTGTAGTGAGAATAAAATTATATACTGTGTAAAAATTTCTTTTCTTAGGTATTTTATAAACTTTTTAAAGATAAACCATAAATATGTAGACAATTGGAATACAACTATGTCTATTAAAGAAAATCAAATTAATAATTAATAATCTTCTAAAACAGAAAGTACCTGGTCCATTTAGGTTCATTGGTAAATTCTACCAAACATTTAAGGAAGAAATCATACCAATTCTTTATAATCTCTTCTAGAAATAGAAGAAGAGAGAATATATTCTAATTCATTCCAAGAGACCAGCTTTATCTTAATACCAAAATCAGACAAGGACATCACAAGAAAAGAAAATTATAAATCACTATTTCTCATGAACATAGATAGAAAAATTATAAATCACTATTTCTCATGAACACAGATAGAAAAATTCTCAATAAAATATTAGCAAATAAAATCCAGCAATATATAAAAAGAATTATACCACATAACTAAGGAGGGTTTATCCCAGAGATGCAAGATTGGTTAAACATTCAAAAACCAATTAATGTTATTTATCCCATCCATAGGATAAAGAAGAAAAATCACATGATCATATCAACAGATGTACAAAAAGCATTTGAGAGAGCTGTCTGTGGCTCACAGAGTAGGGCGCTGGCCCCATATACTGGGGGTGGCAGGTTCAAGCCCAACCCTGGC